GGGTCCACCCTCCAGCCCCCTTGTTTTTTTTTTTTTTGTTTTTTTCCTTTTGAGACAGGTCTTTGATAGTCAGCCAAGCAAGGCTGGCCTGGAAGTCACTAAGTAGTCCAGGCTTGTCTTTAACTTTTGGCAACCCTCTTTCCTCTGTCTCCCGAGTGCTGTGATTACAGGTGTGTGCCACCACACTCAGCTAAGTTTTAGAGTTTAGTATGGTGAAGAAGTGAGTATTGAAGCTGCACCAGGAGTTTTGGGGCTCATATATAAAATTAATGTTCTCAGCTGAGTCTGGAGGTACAGATCTGAATCCTAGCTACTTGAGAAACTGAGGCAGGAGGATCAAAAGTTCAAAGCTGTCTGGGATACAGAATGACTTCAAGACCAATATGAGAAAATAAAAAGAAGTCTGGAGATGTAGCTCAGTGGTAGAGTGCTTGCCTAGCATGCACCCTAGTTCCATCAGTTCTCAGGACCATACGCAAAATAAAAGCAGACATTAGTGTCCTCATTTGCCTGTTAGGGGACTCTTAGCTTCTCTTCAGGGAAGCTGCTGGTAGATTTAGCATCATTAGACAAAGAGCTCGGGGTGGGCGGGATACTACTCTGATGTGGCCAGGAGCAGGCTGGACAGTGCAGAGAAGCTGGGAGCTGCATTGTCTACTACCCAGTGGGACTGGGGCTAGCCTGTAGGGCACTGAAACAGGTGAGGGTCCAGTCACTTTCACTGAAGCAGGTCAGAGCAGGCTATTCAGCCAAATCTCTGGACTCCCACTGGGTACTCAGCAGCAACTGGTGTGATAGAACACATTGACTCCAGAGTTAAGTTCCAACCAGCTCTCAGAGGTTACCTCCTGCCCCCTGAAAATTCAGCCCCCCATCCTTTAAAAAAAATTATTTATTGTGTGTGTGTGCTCATACATGTGCATACCATGGTGTGTATGGATGTTGGAGAACAACTTTCAGGGGTTGGTTCTCCTTTCTTGTGGGACCCAGGGATGGAACTCAGGCTTGGCTGCAGGTACCTTTATTAGCTAAGCCATCTCCCTCCCTTCCCCTGCATTTTTAAAACATGTAATCCAGCTTCCCTCAAAATCCTGATCCTTCTGCTCTCACCTCCCAAGTGATGGGATTACAGACCCAGGCCACCACCCCTGGCTTTTCTTTAAAGTGCTGTGGGCACTACCACTCTACCTGAGATTCTCTTCTCCGGAATTGGCTGGAAGCAGAGCATGTTCCCAAGACTAGCCATTTGCCGCAAACAGTTTCAGTTGAAGACAGATGTTTCGAATAGTCTTCAGTGTTAGAATCTGAACTGTCAGCATCCTTGGTTGTGGGGCTGCCTCTTCTCTCAGTGCATGTGTTCTTGTAATTCTGAAAGGAAGCTCAGCCTGTTTCCTCCTTTCAGATTGTCTCCCACTCTAGTGGTGGAGAGGTACTGAGAGCAGCTTGCTAGATGTCATCCTGTGTTCCTGGCCTCCAGGTCCTCAGTCTGGGAATAGCTGTCTTCATCTGGCCCACTCATGCCTTGGCCCTTTATCCATGCTAAACTGAGAAGTCCAAAAATGAGTGCACTGCCAGGGTTGCCAGTCTGGCTAGGCGCTAGTCTCATGACTGGCATCCAGCCTTGTGCTCTGCCTCAGCTGAAGTGCTAGACATAGTGCCAGTCACTTGGCTACAGAAACCAGTGTCCTCCTCTCCCCTTCTTACTGCTGGTCAGTTCAGAGGAGCTGTGGTTTGTTCAGGAAGCACTGAGCTCCGAGTCAGAACGGTGGGGGAAGCAGCTCTGCTGTGAGGCAGACCGGCTGGGTTTTTGCTGTGGTCAGTGTGATTTGCTTTGAGGGTGCTTAGAAACCCCAGCCTGGTCCCTGTCCTTATGCCACATATAGTCAAGGGGCTCTTGTAGGTATGCTCACGACTCCTGCAGAAAGCAGCAGGTGGCACAGGGCCAAGAGGAAGTGTGACTGAAACTGTCCACTCATAGCCCAGTTGCCGTAGTGAGAGAACTTGGTGGGAAACCAATTCTGGTGTCTGGGATGATGCAAGCGGGCTGTTCGCTGTCCCAGGAGAGGGCATAGGCACTGAGGGGCAGGCACTGGCTTTGGCCTGTTTGTGGCATTGCTCCCTGGACTTCTTCCTCTTTTCCCAGATGGACTCCATTTCTAAGGAGGGGTATTCCAACTGTTGTCTCCCCAGGAGCTCTCAGAGGAGGTACCTGGGACAGTCTGAGCACAGGAGAGCTTATTTCTTTGGGAGACAGTCCCTGGCCTGATAGCCTGTGCCTGTGGTAATAGCAAGAGCTACTGTTCTTAGTGTTAGGCCCTTAGCTAAGAGCTTTGAAAGCATTTGCACTTGTACCAGATCTGGTGGCATGTACCCATAATCCCAGCACTTAGGAAGGCACGTGGATCAAGAGATCAAGGTCATCTTCTGTTATAGCTAGTTCAAGGCCAGCTTGGGCTACATGAGACCCTGCCTCAAAAAAACCACAACCAAAAGCATTCATACTCTTTAGTCCTCACAGCTACCCATTGAGGGAGCCCTTCTGCAAAAAGAGAGATGAGGTTCTGGCACTAAGTAACTTGTCCAAGTTCTCACAGCTAGTTAACAGCACAGTCAGTAGCAGCATAGCCAGTAACAGCACCGCCAGGACTTTTCTTTTTAGATAGGATATATATATATATCCCAGGCTGGCCTTGAATTTGCTATTTTCCTGCCTTAACCTCCTCAGGGCTGGGATTACAGACATACGCCACTACACCCAGTACTCAGCTATGATTTGCTCTCAGGCCTATGTGACTTCAGAACCCTCAGTTTTAAGGCTCTGAGTTGGGAAATAAGAAAAAGGAAAAAAAAAAGAAAAAGAAACATGGACTGTAGTTGGTCAAGTTCTTTAACAGCTGCTCTGGTGTGTGACCTGGTGGGCTGGTCTGGCTTAGAGAGGTAGTAAGGCCGCCCAGTACAATGGAAGTTTGGACAGGATCGTGTTTGTATCCAAGGGTGACCTTGGACAGCTGTTTATCTCTCGGGGAGCTAGCTACAGCTTGATCATCTATGAACAGTGACAGTACTTTCCTTATGGGGTCACAGTGAGGGTCCTTGAGACAACATATGAAAGAAGGTGTCACATGTTAGATGCCGTTCATTGCCAGGGTGTAACTGGCCCAGAAGTAATGCTGCTGCTAGGTAGGTGTCCTCATCCCATGGACAGTCTGCTTTCTAGCCTTCCAGTGAATCATGAAACTAGCTTCCTGTTCCCCAGAGTCACCCCCTGCCCCTGTAGTTGTGAACCTGTGTGATGGCTTAAGCTGGTGGGCAGGGAGACTACATACAAAATGGAGGGCTACTAGAGGTATCAGGGGCATTTTGGGTAGTGATTGAATATTTTTTGTGTCTAGGTCAATGTCAGAGCCTGAGGGAAGATGACAAGGGATAGAGACACAGTCCTCACCCTCAGGGCATGAGAACAGCTCTCTGTAGACAAGTGTCACCCAGTGGCCATCCCTATGTCATGACTTGGCTGCTGGCTAAGGCTGGAGGACAGTAGAGAGGATTTGGAAGGACTGGGAAGGGATGGTAGGCAGAGCGTCAGCACCCTCCTCCCCCTTCTTCACAGACTTGTGTCATCCGGGCCTGGGACCGAAGCAAGCCTCTGCTCTTCTGCCCTGCCATGAATACTGCCATGTGGGAGCACCCCCTCACTGCACAGCAGGTGGGCCAGCTCAAGTCCTTTGGCTACATGGAGATTCCTTGTGTGTCCAAGAAGTTGGTGTGTGGAGACCAAGGTGGGCTTTTTGCCACACTCACAACCCAGATAGCTGTGGTAGGGCCTCTGCTTTGGGGTCATCTCTGGGTTCTGTGGTCCAGTGATCCTGTGGCCTGTTGTGATCTTGGGCAGAATTATTCTCTGAGAGCTCAGCTCTCACTTCGAAACAGAATTCCTAGCACACAGCACAAACACTGCTAACGATCTGCTGTTTACTGGAATGACTCTTAGGGTTATCTTGGGAGGGATATGATGGATCTGGCTCAGGCACAGCTGGACTTGGCTCCTCAGGCTTGGGTTGTGTAGGTGGGGTACACACAGGAGATCTGAGTGATGGCCACAGACAATGTTAGTTCTCAGCTACAACAGAACTTTGCTTCCAGGTCCAGGAGCCATGGCCGAGGTGGAGACCATTGTGGATAAAGTGAGAGAAATGTTCTTCCAGCATGCCAGCGTCCAGCAGAGTTGAACTGGGATTTATGTTGTGGTGTCCTCTGTACCCACCATGTATTCAGCCTCAGCTGGTGAAGGACATCAGCTAAATATGAAGGTCCTGGGTTTGCTGAGGAGGGTCTGGCCTGGGCCTGCTCTGAACTTCCCCAGAGTCTGACCTGCTCCATGTTAAAGTGGACCACAGACCCAGGTTCCACCTGCTTTCTGGACCCCTCCCCATTTCTTACTAGGATAGGCCTAGTAAGCTAGGCGAACATGCTACCATGCTGTCTCCATGCTCCTGGGAGGATGACTGAGTGACTGAGAGACTTCCTGCCAGAAACTGTTTTTAAAAGCACCATGGCTGAAGCTGGGCATAGGGTCCCAGGCCTGTGAATGTGACGACAGCCTGCTTCAAAACAAGAAATATGGAGGCTCAAGATCTTTGGCATGACAGGTTCCTGGCCAGGCCTTAGGAGCTTCCATTCTTTGGTGCCCAGGTGCCATGCAGAGTTGGAAGTCTGTGAGGTGGCAGGGCTTTCCAATTTCCCATAGACTGTACCTTGAGGTTGGGGTTGCTGGGAATTAAGAGAAGTAGACTTTTAGGAGACTCTGTCCTTCTTTTACATCCTGTTTGTGGTCTCAGCTATCAGAGACATTGGCAGTTAATGAAGCTTGGGAAGGTTCTGGCAACTGACCAGCACACTCACATCTCCATACAACATGGATGATTAAGCTCTGAACCCAGACAGCCCCGAGTTCAAATCTCAGCCCTGCCACTTGTCAGCTGAGAACATTGGCTTGGAGGACTTTGTCTTTCTTTCTGATCCTTACTTTTCCCATCTGTTTGATCATCCTTCCCTCATGGAGTTGTTGAGAGGATTAAGTGAGATAATATGTGAAAAATGCATTTGTCTCCTGTACCCAGTAAAAATACATTCCAGGGCTCCCAGCAGATGGTTAAAACTACAGAGAGTATAGAACCTTCTATATACTATGTGTTTTTCCATAAATACATGCCTATATCAAGTTTTAATTGATAATTAGGTACAGTAAGAGATTGACAACGGTTTTCATTTTATTCTGTAATAAACTATTTTCCACACTAATAAAATGGAACAATTAAAGATGTATTCTAGTGCCAGTATGGTGGTGTACGCCTTTAATCCCAGCACTTAGGAGGCTGAGGCAGGCAGATCTCCGTGAGTTCAAGGCCAGCCTGGTCTACATAGTGAGTTCCAGCCCAGCTGCGGCTACAGGGAGACCCTGTCTCAAAAAGACCAAAAAAAAAAGTACTCTAACAGAGGCCAGCAAGATGGCTCAGTGGGTAGGTAAAAGGACTTGCCAAGCCTGACTACCTGAGTTCAATTTCAGGGACTTGCTTGGTGGAGGAAGAGAACAGACTCTGACCTTCACTCTATGGCATGTGTACATGTGCACACATACACAAAAATAAAATGTAATAAGAGCTTTAAAGAAAATACTATAATAGAAGCTCTGTGAACATGGTCACTTAGCAACCTCGACATACAATTATTTTTAATTTTATTATTTTTATTTTATGTGTATGAGTGTATTGCCTACATGCAGGTAGGTGCACCTGTATCATGCAGTGCCCATAGAAGTCAGAAGAGGGAGCTGGATCCCCTAGAACTGGAGTTATGGACCGTTATTAGCCACCATGTGGGTGCTGGAAGTCAAACCTGGGTCTTCCACAGGAGCATCCAGTGCCCTTAACCACTGAGCCATCTCTCCAGTCCAACAAAACAATTTTTTAAATCTTATTAAGTCAAGAACTTGTACTCTTTCATGGAAAGGAAGCTCCTTACAGCTTCTCTGCCTTATATGAATTTCCAGCATCACTATTCTTATGCTTTGGGGCCATTATTAAGATAAGGGTTACTTGAACATAAGCTCTGCAGCACTGCTGTAGTTGATGTGATAACTGAGACAGCTTGTAAATAGACGACTGCCAATCAGGTAGCATATACAGCATGGATACAGTGGGCAGAATGATTTGTGTCTGGGTTGGGACAGAGTGAGAAGTGTGATATTTCATCATGTTCCTCAGCACAGCATGTGATTTTAAACATATGAATTGTTTCTATAGGCCAGGCATGGTGGCGCACGCCTTTAATCCCAGCACTTGGGAGGCAGAGGCAGGCAGATCTCTGTGAGTTTGAGGCCAGCTTGGTCTCCATAGAGAATCCAGGCCAGCTGGGGCTACAGGGATACCCTGTCTCAAAAAGACCAAAAAAAATAAAATAAAATAAAAAATAAAAATGAATTGTTTCTATAAACTTCCATTTAATATTTTCACACTGCAGTTAACAGAAAGCAAAACTGCAGATAAGTGGGGACTACTGTTGCCACCGTACCTAATACCTGGAACACGGTAAAGGTCAAATGAATGGAAGTTAAGACTGTGCATACACACATGGCAGGGGCTTTCTTAACATTTACTGGAACAGTTCATCTCATGTTTAGGAAAATTAAGGCTCAGATCTTAAGCAAACATGGCCCTTTATAGAAGTGACAGGCAAACCATCAGCCGGGTTGCAACCTTCCCTGAGTCCATGCCTCTGGCTTGCTTCTTACTCCCCAGTTTGAACCCTCTGACTCTCATCCCCAGCTTGTTGCACTTGCCTGAAGGTATATGCACTGTTGACAGTACACATGACCTGGAGGACTAGTATCCAGAGAGACTAGTAGTCTGACCTAGAAACCCCTTGCTGTCCTGCTTTTGACCTAATGACTCTTAGATGTAACTGTTGTAGTAAAAGGTTTGTTTGTATTTGCAGCTGGGGTGGGGGTTGCTTCTTGCCTTGGCTTCCAGGCCCATCACCTGATGGATGTCCTCAGAGCACTGAGGATACTGGACATGGGGTGGGGGCAGGTACCAGAACCAGGGTCTCCAGAAGCCTCCAAGAGCCCTTCTATCTACTCATTTGACTTAATCAAGTGAGATTAAAATTACCTTAGGATATTAAACGAAATGTAACATAAATAAATAGTAGGAGCAAGGGCCAACCTCAAGGCCATTGAGATGACTCAGCAGGTAACTACTAAGGCCAACAACCTGAGTCTCATCCCTGGGACCACATGGTAGAAGGAGAGAAACAACTCTTGCAAATTGCCCTCTGACCTCCATACCACTGCTGTAATGTGCATGATCACACACATAAAAATCAATAAATGGAGGGGGTGTTAATATTCTATTTATTATGTGTATGAGTGTATTGCCTGCATGTATGTAAGTGTGCCTATGTCATGCAATGTCTGAGGAGGTCAGAAGAGGGCATTGGAGTCCTGGAACTGGGTTATGAATGGTTGTTAGCTGCCATGTAGATGCTGGGAATCAAACCTGGGTCCTCTGTAAGAGCAGCCAGTGCTCTTAACTGCTGAGCCATCTGCCCAGCCCCCTGTTTGTTTTTTAACCCAGCCTGGGATACAGCAATGGCAGAGTGCTTGCCTAGCATGTGCAAGGCCCTTGATTTAACTCCAACTAAAACTCTCTCAACTTAGAGTTTGAGTCCAGCTTGAGCTACATAGTGAGACCCTGTCTCACTTTGCCCCTCCCTCCCAAAGTAGACCTCTGACTGGGTTGGGAGTTAGGGTGTGAGGAAGGAGAGCCTGCATCACTAAGTTCTAAGAGACATAGTTTCCAATTTCCTCTTATCTGTCACCTTACCCTTTCTCAGCACCCTGCTCATATATGGAAAAGTTGATTTTTTTTTTTTGAGACATAATTTCATTGTGTAGCCCTGGCTGTCCTAGAACTTGCTATATAGACCAGGCTAGCCTTGAATTTAGAGAAATCCACCTACCTCTGTTTCCTGAGTGCAGGACTCAAGGCATGCACCACCACACCTGACTACAAGGCTACTTTTAATAGAAGTGCTTGTCATGTGTAAGGCTCTGTTCTGGGCACTTAAGGGAAAGCAGTTTCCAAAGGTGACCTCTTGTCACCTCTAGTAGAGTATATAAGAAGCAGCCAAGTGACAAATGCCTTTTCAGTAGAAGGAGCCACAGACCAGCTATAAAATGGTGTTTGAAAGGCTGTGGGGGATGGTGCTAGAGAGATGGCTCAGCAATTAAGAGTATATACTGCTCTTTTAGAGGACCCAAGTTTGATTCCCAGCACCCATATCGGGCAGCTCACAACCATCCATAACTCTAGCTCCAGGGGGATTCATTGCTTCTGATTTTCTCAGGCACCTGCACTCATGTGCACATACCCCAACACAGCTATGCATACATGTAATTAAAAAAATAGCAAAAATCTCTTTTTAGAAAGAAGGCTATAAGGGGCTAGAGAAATGGCTCAGTGGTTAAGGCCACTGGCTGCTCTTGCAGAGGACCCAGGTTCAATTCCCAGTACCCACATGGTGGCTACAAACCATTCTTAACGCCAGTTCCAGGGGAATCCAAAGCCCTCTTTTGACCTCCAAGGCATTGCACGACACAGGTGCACTCACACACATGCAGGCAATACTTTTGTACACATAAAATAAAAATAATAAAATACTAAAAAGCAAGAAAGAAGGCTATAAGATGCTTGGTGTGATGGCAGAGGCCAGGAATCTCAGGATTTGGGAGGCAGAGGCAGGTGGATCTCTGTGAGTTCAAGGCTGGCCTGGTCTACACATCAAGTTACAGGCCAACCAGAGCTCAAAAAAATAAACCAAAAAACCAAAAAGAAAACCAGAAAGGCTCTGGGAGCAGAGACCTTCATAGAGCCTTGTCCTGAGGCTCCAAGAGCAGCTGTGGCTGCTCAGCTCGACTGAGTCTTGGCTAAAGGGAAATATCTGTCCCTGTGGACAGGGGTCAGCCAGAATCCCCATCCCCAGGGTTCACTACTCCTCTGACCCAGGGTAGTCCTGCATCTTTGAGCCAGCTGCAGCAAGGGGGAGGCAGGACATTTACCTGGTCTGTCAGAGGAATGCTGTGATGGGATGACAATCAGTTTTCCCCACTAAGGTTCCGTGTTCTGGAAGTTGTCATCTTAGGTAACAATGTTCTGCAGAAAAGTGGCTGACTACATGATATTTAGAGAATGCTGGAAGTTTAACAGAATCAAATATTTGGATCTGAAATTTGCACTTTTAGCAGCCTGCACAGAATCTTTCTAGGCTGGGCAAGATGCTGAAGCCACCAGGCTGGGGTCCAGCCTCTATGCTGGGCTACTCCAGGTCTTCTGCACAGCTCAGCAGGGCCCTCAGCTACCTTCTCTCTGCCTCACAATTAGACCTGACCCCCGTCTACCCTTCTAGCTCTGCCGTTTTCCTCTGCCAGAGTGTACAGCCTTGAGCAAGCCATGTTTCTTCCTGCCTCCTGCCTTTGCCCATGGAACTGTTTGTAGTGAAGACATTTGTCACCTGGTTGCCTCCTACATGGGCCACTAGAGGTAACCAGAGGTCCCCTTTGCAAAGCTTTCTCTGACCCACTTGGGTTGGATGTCATGGTCCTAGTTGCGATTCTCCTTATGTCTCCTGCCATTTATTACAACAGAGTTGTAGTTGTCAGCTTGCCTTGTGTCCCCTGAGATTGGGACCTCTTAGAGAGTACCAGTTGTCTTATGCTCTCTAGAACCCAAGCTTGCTCCACTGACTAAGTGGAGTGTGAGTGTAAGTAGGGACGGAAGTGGGGGGAGGGGAGGTGCATCCAGCTCCTTTCTGAGCAAGGCAGAAAACCTTGGAGTCATAAAAGCAAATTTGTAGAATTACTGACAGTTTGGCAGAGCAGGAGCCCAAAGGTAAGATTAAAAGACAAACAACTGGGAAAATTATCTGCAGCTTTTATAACAGAGGGATACTTCCCCTAACATAGGATCTTGTGTATGTGTGTGTGTGTGTGTGTGTGTGTGTGTGTGTTTGAGACAAGGTCTTATTGTGTATCCAGGCTGGCTTTGAATTTGAGATCCTTCTGCTTCAGCAGCCCAAGTACTAGGATTACAGGTATATGCCATCACATGTGGCTTTTTGGTTTTGCGCTACTGGGGATCAAACCCAGTGCCATGAAACCAGGTTTGGAAGGCCAGTGATATAGCCTTAGAAAGAATTTACTAAGATATGAGCAAACAAAGAGAATTTGTAGAAATACCTGCAAATGCAGGGCATGGTGGTACATGCCT